AAAAAAACGACATGTAGGGGAAACACATGCGAGGTTGTGAGTAGGCTGTACGACCGCTCTATATCTGTCTGGGAGGCTTCTCTGTTGCGGCGAGCTTCAGTCTCCACAACAGAGCTTACAACGCCACTGAGTAATGCCTGAAACAGCACGTTCGAGGGCGAGAGTGATCAAATCGCGACAAGTGAACACAAAAAGCACAAAAGAGTGTTAGATAAATAGATAATCGATAAAGGTGCCATGCGGCTTATAGACGACAACCCAGCCCCGCCTTCACGTTCTCGATCCTCCTTCATTACTCGTTTCCTCATGACTGTATAGCGGTAGATTATGTACGCCCACCGTCTGCTCATATGATGCAATGAACCAACAACAGTCTTATTCAGAGCGTTTCCGACGGGTTTTCCTGCCTTTTCCTTCCCTTCTGACATTTAAAACACTTTGACTTTCGTGTTTGCCCTTTATGGTTCAGTCCCGCTGCCTATTATTGTGATCGAGGTTGGTGTCTTCAACCGTCCTTACGGCCTAGGCATACTCGGACGTCGACCTAATAAACGCGGGATCATCATATCAAACCTGCATGGCGAATCTATAAAAAAACATGCTCCATAGAAAATGCCCAGGGAGGAAAAACGGACCATGGCGGCCTACGCTTGCGTTTGGAAAGTCGAATGTGGGAACTCGTTGTTGTCGGCGCTCCTGATGCTCTTCTGTTCCAGGTTTCGGGGAAAGGGGAATGGCGGGGTGGAAGAGAGCATTGAGATGCTGCACTGTAAATATCAGTGGTTAGAAGTGTCACAATTCTTCTGTGCCTTATGACGTTGTTGAGTGGGAAGATTTATACAATAAAGCCTTCAGTGTGTTCCACTGAAAAGACGGGATGTGTGGCTTCTGATGGCGACGATTAACAAGCCAAAGGCTATACCATGATAGACGTTTCAAGGCAAATCAACCAGTCACGTTATTAAAAGATCGAATGTCTCCACGAACCACTCGTAGTACACAACTCGAAGATTCGAGGGAGGGGGTGAGAACCTGGCTGCGTACTTTATTCGAAACTGATGTAAGATGTGTTTTTCGTGGGATGTTCTATCTCAGGATATTGCCCTAATGTTTTGTGCTAGACCAATACGCCTCGAAATTAAAACATCCCATAATGAGCGCAGTCGCTGTCACGCTTGAATGAAGACGCCGCCATGCCCTTCCTGGAATATGCAGTGTACCTGCAGTGGAAACTTTTGCTCAGTTTATTCAATTTCAGAAACACGCTTTGGATGACGTGAAATCTGGAGAAATTGTGAGGGTACAGTACGATACCGGTCAAAACGAAATAGTCACAATAGGTTCTGAAGTGGAAATAATAAAGGTATGAAGTTGTTCAGGATAATCGACACAGTTCGGCTCGGTGAGGCCAAAACCTGTTAACTCAAGAAAAGGCTCTCTAGATGGGCGGACACGTTGATGGGAATTAGCAAGAGTGCAACATACCTCCTCGTTGCCGGACTGCCTCAACCTGTACTTTCCTACCGCAGAAGTGGTTCACTTGTTCCATTTCGCAGCCTCACAAGAGTTATTCGTTGACAAGAACTAGCAAAACGAACTATCGGATGTGTGAAATGCCCTCACTAAGCCGAACAGCGCCGGATTAGCCTTCAAAGCTGAACCCACCACCTACTCAATGCCTCTGAATACAGTTCCGCTTTTTTTGATTCGCCCGCCCTATAGACTGATAGTTACGACAGAAGCGTCCTTCATTATCATGATGGCACACACCAAAAGGAAGAAGTGAAAGCTGTATTTTTGAAAGTGACATTTGCCGACCATTTGAGTGAGACAACTCCACCACCTTGCGAGTGAAGAGACTGTTACACAAGTGTAGATCACCGAAGGTAAGTGGCAAAATTCTGGGGTCATGTCGTAGAGTCAGGAGTATCCAATGAGCTCGAACTTGTGAATACAAGGACTGGAGGATGCACCAGTGTCCGTCGTATCAAATCTCACTGCTCTCCTGTTCCTTGTTTTCTCTCATCGGCGCAGCAGGTTTCTTCGCCTGCTGCTCGTACAATGCTCAAATTTTGAGCTCCAAAATCTGCTGTAGATGAGAGATCTTGTAGAACTGTTCTCGACGCCCTCTTTATTTTTCTCACGAGCGGGTCAATAATTGGGCACGAGGAGCGCAGAGAAGAAGTAGGTTTCAACTATGGGCCATCAGCTCTATTAGGCATGATGGATCTTTCATCCCTTATCGTGATCGCTGAGATTCAGGAGAGTAATACCTTACTACTAGTGGTCCAAGAGATTTCGGCTTATGTCTGCCTTTAGTGTCCTTTGCCCGTGAATAAAAATATTCCCATTTCACAAGGCTTCCCATCTAAACCACTCTACCCCCTTTGACCACCTCATGCCGCTGGTTTTCACTCGTTCTCCCCGCACACACATGTTCTTCTTTCAGACTTCTTCTAATATGGCTTCTGCACTCAAATCAAAAGCAGGCGATGTTAAAACGAAAAGTGTAGAGCTTCCGCCAGGACACGCGAAAAAGAAAGCGAAACACAACAAAACGGTAAGTTGGGACAGATAGGTCTGGCAATAAGGTTCACTAGAAAGACCTCAAAAGAGTACGACTGGATTTTCAGTCCGGATATGATTTGTGATGTGCGTCTTTCACGCTTCCATTTTGATGTATTTCAGAAAAGTGTGCGTCATTGATTAGAAGAGAATTCGTCTTTCTTCACAGTTTTTGCTGATTCAATCGAAAATCATTCACAACATACTCAAAAGCCGAACGTTCATTAAAGTTGTATGTAGTCATTGTGATGTGTTGGAGATTTCAAAGGACTGTTCATTGCACCGCATACACTCCACATCGCGAGAATGGGAAGGGCGTAGCCGCGCACATCATTTCGACGTGGCGACGGTGACTATTCTGGTGAGATTTGGAGCAATTGTAACCATGCCTTTGTCCAGCCTCAAACAGGATAACAGTTGTTCTCAATGGATACTTCCCGCAAAACTCATTCTACTCTTTGATCAACTGGAGTGCGCAGCCACCCCCACCCTACTTCGGGGATATGGAGTGTATGAGAGTGTCAAGGGTTCAGTAGTCCGCAAGTCACTGTATGTGCTACAGTATGCTACACGATATTACCGAGTGGCATAACGTTTACTGATGTACTTTTAGCGAAGTGCCTACAGTGGACCCCTCATCTTCCTACCCTTGAACACACAAGGCAAGCAGAAATACGGTCTTTGTCAGAGAGCGAGGAAGACGTTTCTAGGTGCTCCCGCACAGACTTTTCTTTCCTACGCACACGTCTCCGCCTTTCTTTTATCCTTACTCCCACAGCCGTCGGAGCGCACGCAACCTCGGGACAAGCAAAATGAAGTATAACATTTATCCCTTTGCACTGACAATCAGATCAGGGTGCAGCATCACTATTCGGCACCGAGCAGGGGGATCGTCGTTGGCCACGTGAGAGCTTTTCCGAACACTTTTTTTCCGATTCACACTATACACGCATCTTACTTGTTTGGTGGCACGGTTGGTGGTGCGCGCGGATTGCAATCTCTGATGGTTGATCGGAGGTGTCTACAACCATGCCCACCTTGCTCGACGGCAGTTTCAGGGAGTTTTATAGGAGCGATCTTGGGTAATGGGTGGGGTAGTGGGTCAGACCAGAAAAAGAAATTTAGGGCTGGTCGTACTGACACCGCCATTCCATCGGCCACAAAGCTGTGCCCTGGTTCGGCTGTACATTCGACCGACCACATGTATGCATATGCCACAAAGCTACTCTCTGGATCTCTAGAAAATCGTACTACGGTAAAAGCCGTGTATGCCCTCCTACAATTGACAGCCAATACGTTTGGATGATTCTTTTTCTAACAATGGAAGCAAGACTGACGTCCCTATCTCCTGTTGCAGCAATCTCGCCCACGTATGTCGACCAGATGCCGCTAAACGTTTATTCCAGTAATGTACATGTACATCATCTGCGTATGACATTTACCAGAGAGAAACATCGAAATGCCAATACAGGGTTTTCAGTGAAATCTCAGGCAATTTTTAAAAGGAGAAATAAAGCGATAAAAAGGCAACTAAGGTTTGGGGCGCTGAATTGTTAAAACTGGAGCCTATTTATGCTTGAAACATTGAATTTAATCCATAACGCATAACTTTACACATGACGCTACGATGGAAAAAATGACGAAACATGCTCCCAATACAAGGAGGATCGCCACGGCTTGATCGATATCTGGAAACAAGTAGTGTTATCAGTTTGTTGCCAGAAGAATCTCTAACCTTACAAGCAGCTTTTTCAAGTGGTCTTTTGCTTGCCGCTATGACGCAAATAATGAATGCTAAAACACTGTAGCTTTCCCCCACTCGTGTTTTCCTCACGGGGCCGCAGGTGTGGCAAGGAAGGGCCAAAGAGCATTTAAGCACTTCTACCGCGTGTTTGTTTGGCGCTATGCCCTCCCGTAGTTTCGGAGATACCTCAAAAGCGCGGCAGCGTCCAAACTTCGAAATAGCGTGCGTCTACACTACAACTCAACAGCGCTTCAAAGCTGAAGAGGTGTACGCAGCCGTACACTGCTGTCGATGGGCGCCGCCCGCTTGTTTCGAGAAAGTACGGGATTTGGACAGTAGCTGTTGTCTACATAGTCACGCACACGTATCGTTCGACACTGGCCGTTTAAGGCTGCATTGTCTGTAGCTTTGGGGCGCCGTTGCAATTGCAGTGCGTCGACGAGCGCCATTGCAAAGTCTGAACGCTGCCTAATCTGAGCACCATGGTTGGTATAAGCGGAAAGTGACTGATTACTATTCAAGGCTCTGTGAATATGCATTAGGCAGCGTTCAGACTTCGCGACGGCAGCGCTTCGGTCGCGCGTTCGACGCGATCGATGCAGTCGAAAGCATGCGCATCGATCGCGCCGAACGCGCGACCGAGGCGCTGCCGTCGCGAAGTCTGAACGCTGCCTTAGACACAGAACGATAGCGCTGAAATTCCAAAAAGTTTTCGAAAAGAGCCCCTCCCCATTCGCTATTTAGAATGACGACAGTGACTCAAGAGTACAATGCCCCGCAAATGCTATATTAATTATAAAAAAACGTCTGGAGCACTTGAACTGGAAGCAAGTCAATGTCATTGACTCATTGAGTTTTTGGATTAGGAGTAAGATCAGAGTAGGTTAGCACACTGCCTCTACCCCATTGAGCTTTCCTACCAATAGATGCCCACTGATCCTCGGCAGGCGCACTGGCAGATCATGAATGGGCATGCATTGATTGAAAAGTCAAGCCGGGAACGGCGACATAATTGCGCAGTGGAGAGGCGTGCAAGATAACGGTCCGGTGGAAAACGCTGATAAGCGTGACCGCGACGTTGTACTAGTAAGTCTAAAATGATCGGGCGTGTCGCTTGCACTGAAATCAGCGATTGAAGGCCAACAGTCTGTTTAGTATCGCCATGCAGATATGTGTGGATTACGAGGGATCAGCTTCTCCCCGGGACACGGCGGACAGGTCGCCACCCACTATATTGCCCCCATGCACGGCGCCCGGACTTGTGTATTAGCACGCTTTTTGTAGCCTGCTGGAAGGTCTGGTAGGGTAACTTTCAGTTTTGACGACCTCGTGCCGAAGAGATGGTGCATGACACGGGCTCATTGTCGTTTGACGCCGCCTGAATGCTATGGAGGAGCATCAGCCGAAATCTTCCAACGCAGAGGATGCGACGCGGATTCTGAGTTCAGTGAGGACTATCGTAGGAACATCATTACTAGCTTTGTAGCTCCTCGGCAGCCTTGGCGGCGCAGGCGATTGCATATCTTGTACTCGCGCATTGAATAGAAATAAATACATACTGATCTTGCATATTGGGGGAGATGAGCAGTGGTTGATGTTGCGAACTATGAACGCAACGCTGCCTTATTGCATTCATACGTGCTCGCTCCATTTCTTTTTCATGGCGTGAATCAGATATTGTTTGTGCCCATTAGGGTAAGAGCAAGACCTGGGCACGTCGTTGGTTGGGGGTTCTGGTCGTCCGTACGCCCCCCCTCTCACTTTTTTTAGGGGGTTGGTACGAGCCCCCCCCCCTGGTTCCCTCCTCATCGAGCTGTCAAGCAGGACGGAAGGGAGGAGGGGGTAAATAGCACATGTGAAAGGAGAAAAGCCGCGAGGAAAATGCGAGCCCCCCTTACGAAGTCCGTGAAACAAGAAAAAATCAACTATCAAAATAAATTTTTCTCAGTCCAAATACGACTCCCGTCTGTTGACGAATCTCCGACAACGATGTGCCCCGAGCAAGACTGGGCCGTAGGATAGAGCTGTTCATGTGACAACCAGTGAACAATCCTACACCGCGGTAGATAAACGCTGGGGTTTTGGCAGGTCTCTAGATGCATATGTTTTCCAGTTATTTATGGCCCTTTATTCCTCTTTATAGAAGCGAAAACTTAATATCCATCCGAGAGAGCAACATAATCCCACGTTAGGACTTACAAGTTCGGCAGCTATTTGGCAAGTTGTCTTCAATTGTGATGTTCATTCTCGCTCGCAAATGTCGTTCTAGTTTTTCCGATATGCACAGATACTTATTCCCAACTATTCCTGCAACACGTGATAAGCACATGTAGCTGGTCCCACACAAAACTCGATAATTATGCGATAGCAATTTGAAAGTAACAAATTACTGTTTTCACAGAAGTGGGATGGCTTGAAATGAAACCCTCTTATGAACTCGATATCGGTAAGATACGTGTGTTCAACCACAAGGCAGCCGTCCACATGACCACCTAGGGTGGGAATTTCTCCAGCGACTTCTTGACTGAAGGCCTGGAATAGCAGACTCCTAAGCACCTCTAAGTGTGTATGTACTGGTTATTTCACACAGTTAAGGCTTGCTAGTTTATCCAGAAATCCGTAATGATGTTGGTGCCACGGTGGTGCTTTTCGTAAGGATGAGTGACTGCGTTCATCCTGCACTGTTTGTGAACACTGGAGAACATGGAAAGGCCAAGAACGGAAGTACTGGTTGCAGGTATCGCACCGAACACTTCACACAGAACACGGCACTCGCGAGATCTGCAGTTTCGACAAACAATTTTGAGGAAGAATATTTATTAAGAGCGCGCAGTGACTGCTGAACTTTATCGTACATCATATATACCAGTGGTGACAATCAGGTCATCAGTGGGGTTCATCTAGCTGACTAACTGCGCTCCAAAGTAGCTGAACTCCTGAGCGGTTTTCGGAAAGGGTTCATGTCTACACGGTGCGAATCAGGTTCAAAATTTGTAGGAGTCACGTTGCATTTCCTAGGATGAAATCTCGCCCAAATTCACTATAGTCGCTATTCCTATAAACGAGAGGGCGTGTGAAGGGGCGTTAACCGAAGTTCAGGCGGAGCATGCGTTTCCACCAGTTGTTGCGGGTTCAGAATGGCACCAGTTGATAGATAAGACCTCCAATCCACCATGGATAGGGAGTGTCTACTCAGAATTAGCTTTACCGGAATATCAATGATACTCGAGAAGCGCCTATTTTGCGATTGTCGAAAAAAAGACTTATTTGTGCTATAACATTCGTATCAATCGAAAGGAGCAAAACGCGTACAATGTCTCCATAGTAGGCATCGCAATTCAATTGGGATAAGTCAACCACTCGTCCAGGTACGGCGCATTCTGAAAACTCCATTTTGCAAACAAGCTACATTAACCTCCTCTAGTGTATTGTCAGACAACTCACCGCCTCTACGTGGCCTAAAGAATCGATATGTGTGGAAAATCTGAGAGATCCGTGAGATTGTCGCATGAGACAGCTGCCGATTCCCTCGAATGACTACCATGTCCAAAGTCTCCGGACTGTCTGACGCTTTGGTGAATTTGATATTGTCATTAAAAACTATGTTCTCCAAATAGTCATTTCCAACAACTCGCAATGCAGGGCCTGAATTAGACCTATCGAATCCACCAAATAATCCGGCTATGAGCAATTTTTCGAATGCTGCCTTTTGACGACAGTGCATAAACACTTGGGGACGTTATCTTACCAGCGAGCGCATGCTAGATGTACAGCTTATATCACCTGTCGGCTCGCAATCAGCGGTTCCCACCTGCGGCCTTCCCACCAGTGGCTGATTCCTTCCTACATCGATCATTGCTCGATCACCATTGGTAGAGCAAGGCAGCAGACGCGAGCTCGTGCCGCGCTGCGCTCGCCGCCGCCGACAAATTGCAATGTTACAAACTATAGCTGGTGTGACGGTGCGTAACGGAATGCATGGACCAGCGCCACACCATGGCACTTCAATGACAGTCAGTCAGTACCTTCGTAGATTGCTGATGGATAGTGATCAACACTAGGATATCGAGGGAAGATGCAAAGGAACAGAAGGACCGAAGAAATCTCGCTCTACCCTGAGCGGCTCCGTGGGAAAACTCACCCATGCGTGTTGCGGCGTGGTTTTTTGACGTCACCGCGGCGGCAGGGCGGAGCGAAAGGCGATGGCCTGCGCCTCCGCCACTGTGCTTTAATCAGCAGCCATTTTCATGTGGAAGGAAAAAAGGGGACATGGAAAGAAAGGGATTGAATAGATAATGGATGCTTACAGATGAAAGTGATAGTTGTGAGAGAGCACAGAAAAGTCGAGTATCAGAGCGTATTACTTCAGTCAACGGCGAAACTGGCGAAATAGTTCCCTTCGATTGTGAAAACGACGCAAGCAGCTCCTACGCAAACGTTATACCGTTATAAGGTCACAACCAACTGTTGGCAATTTGCCAAACCTGTCCTTAAACGTTTGCGTACGAGGTGCTTGCGTCGTTGACGTAATTCGCCCTGATAGTGGCTCTTTTTGCAACTTTTGCACAAATAGCCCTTCATAGACATTTTCTACACACACTACACTATATTACATCTCCATTACATGCCCCGCCCCCAGATAACTCCGCCCCTTTTTGTCGCGACACATTCTACATGTATGTTAGACACATTTTACACTATATATCGTTCAACCCTCTTTCTTTTTTTTCCCTTTTCCTTCCACATAAAAGCGGCTGCTGATTGGAGCACAGTGGCGGAGGCGCAGGCCATCGCCCTTCGCTCCGCCCTGCCGCCGCGGTGACGTCAAAAAACCGCGCCGCATACGAGCCTGGGTGAGTTTTTCCCTCCTTCGACGCTGAGCAGCGGTTTAATTTGTCGTTACATGGTTGACTGGGCTAGCGCATTGTCACCGAGTTAACTGCCATTACAGGCGTTGCCATCGAGGCGCAGTCTAGGACCCTGACGAATCGTAGGTACGGCGAAACGAACAGTATTTGTGGGCTCTGACACCGTCGCAAAAAGGGTTAGATA